AACCATAAAAAGCAGAAAAAAAAAAATTCAACATTTTTTTTCCAGTTTTTTTTTTTCAAACTATTCTTAACTTTTTGATAAGTGTTCCCATTGTTTACTTTAGAGAACCCTAAAATATAGACTTGGTACATTAATCATATACAAAAAAAATAAGTTTTATATGCCACTGCAGTAACTTTCTTTTGTTCTCCTCAAAAGAAAAAAAAGTTTTTTCAAAAGTTTTTTTCAAAAAAAAAGGTTTGTTTTTATTTTTTTTTAGAAAAAAACTTAAAAGGAAAAATAGGGCAGATTTTTAAACGGAAAAAGAATTTTTCTAAAGCATTCAGATTTTTTTCAGCAGTAGTTTTTTCCGCTATCAACACACACCTATTAAAGCACTTTTTCATTTCGCAAACAGTTTTTTTTTTATTCTTAGCTTTACACAAACTTTTTCTAAAAAATAAATAAATTCTTGTCGATTTCATAACATACATCTTACCATTTTTTTATTACTTATTAAGAAAAAAAGCTTTCTTTTTGTTTAGAAAAAGATATCTGTAAACAAAAAGTATTCTTTAACAGACGCCATTTATTATCGTTGTAAATTTAAAAGTGTTTTTTTTTTTCGCAAATAAAATTAACAGAAAGCTTGTAGAAATTTTAACTTTTGATTTTACCTATTTAGTTTCAAAAGGAATTTTAATCTAAGTATCCCAATCATTTAGTGGACTTTGATATTATTTTTAGAGGACCAGTTTAAAAATTGTTCAGCTCATTGCGTATTATTATTTTCTTCATCTAAGTTACCAAACAAACTGGGCAAATCTTTGAAATAAACTTTATTTATATGTTTAGTTTTTTTTTGAATCTAATAGCTTGAAAAAATTTGGATCTTTGAGGAATCAAATTTTTATTGTTTGTTACAGATAGCATAAAATAATACAGAAAAGCAAAAAAAGAGAAAGAAGAAGGAAGAACAAAAAAAAGAATTTTCGTGCTTATTTTTTTTATCTATTCAATATAGATTTTGAAATAATTCTCGAAAAATTTTTTAATGTCTAAAGAGGAAAGAGAGAAGCAAAAACATGCTTTTATTCGCTTATCTGTCTTTTTTTTTTGGGCTCTCCATTTTTATTCATATGCCGTACCGTAAACCTGCAGATCGTTTTTTTGGCACTTTTCCAGTTGCCGTCAAATGTACCATTAGTAAACTTTTACTGTGGAAACAATTCTGTTCGGAATATCATAATGCTAATTTCTGCGTTTCTTTTCTACTCTGTTTTTAGTTTTTTCTTTTGCTTTTAATTTAGTGCTTTTTTGTTTGGTTTTTTTAGCCCGAATATGGATCAGATTCCGATTCGCCGGCATCCTGTATCAGTAACACTGAAGTAACGCCGACAACATCAAACGATGCAGCTGCGCGATTATTTTTACAAATTTTACAGTGGTCAAAAACCTTATTACCGTTTATCAGTCTAAATGTTGCCGAACAGGTAATAATGACGTTAATCTCATATATTATGCACTTATACAAAATTCTGTTTTTCTTTTTTGCATTTTTGAAAATGCTTCTTCGAAACAAGAGAGAACAACGTTTTCGTAAACATAACTTCTATTGAAATTTGGAAAAAAAGTACGTGTATAAAAAAAAAATCATTTAAAGACCAACTTTATAATCTTTGTTTTTACAATTAACTGCAGTAATCAGCCATCAATAGACCTAAAAGAAAAGTTAACAATTGTTCAACGTTTTAATATTTTTTCTTTGTTTAACAAGGCGGAACTTGAATCAAATCAACACCATTACAAGTGGAAGTTTTTTTTATTTGCACTGAGAGATTACGGTAGCCGAGCCTTTGCTTCATTGCGCTTTGTAGAAAATATTTAGTTGCAATTAACGTGTACTGCTAAAATTGACAGCACTATTACGGATGGCATTGACGTGATGCCTTTTGGATGGATAATAAAATTAACATCGTTCTTAAACGTCTAAATCAAAGACGTTGTTTTTTTTTTCTTTCAACAGTAATTTATGCAAAGAAAAACTGAATTACTTAAAATTCAAATTTTACTTTTATTATTTTCTTTTTAAAGGAATATTACTTTACTGTTTTAGCAAATCATTGCTGTTTATGTTACAATTACATGTCTGACAAACAGTTTCTAAAAACATTTTTTTAACCGAAATAACAAATCTGTTAATCAAAAGTGGATTTTTTTTTTTTTTTTTTTTTTTTTTTTTTTTTTTT